AATATATAATATCCTTTATAGGGACAAAAGAAGAAAGCTCTCTCCCTTTCTTCCTCTGCTGCTGCTGCTGCTGCCGCTGCAGCAGCACAGCAGCAGCAGCAGCAGCAGCAGCAGCAGCGAGAGTTGCAGGTGTATGTACACCTCAAGGTTGCTGCAGAGACAAAACAAATAAGTCATTATAAAGACATACCCTCAATATACACCAAGAGGGGCCCCTGCTGCTCTGCTGCTTCCCCCTTGCTGCTGCTGCTGCTGTCGTCGTTGCTGCAGCTTCTATGCTGCTGCTGTTGCTGCCGCACTTGCTGCAGCAGCAGAGAGCAAAGCAGCAGGAATAAAGGAACATTTCTGTGCAGCAGCTCCGCTCCTTCTGCTGCTGCAGCTGCTGCTTCTCCTTCTTCTGCTCCTGCTGCTGCTCCTTCTTGCCAGCAGCTGTTCCTCTCATCTGCTGCTGTTGCTGCTGCTGCTATTAGGGGCCCCCTGTGGAGATGCAGACGCCGCAGTCTCCTCCTCCTTTTGCTGCTGATGGGGTGTATGTACCCTTCCCGTTGCTGTTCCCTCCTATAGATCTTCATCCAAGCTTTGCTGCAGCAACAGCAGCAGCAGCAACTGATGCTAATGTAGATCCTCTGCTGCAGCGTTCATCAAGACCTTCTCCTTCTGCTGCCGCTGCTGCTGCTTCTGGTATTTCTAATGGAGCGGATTCAGCAGCAGCAGCAGCAGCAGCAGCTGTAGCAGCTTCAGGGCTGCGGCAGCAGCTGCTGCAGCGCATGCAGCAGCTATCTGCTCTTCATCAACTTGTTGCAGCAGAGCAGCAGCTAAGTATTTGCCAAAGACCAATAGATCAGCAGCAAGGGACAATAGATACTGCAGCAGCAGCGGCAACAGCAGCAACAGCAGCAGGAGCTGCAGCTGCTGCTGCTACTGCTTCCGGTGAACAACGTACAGCGACAAATGCTGCAGCAGCAGCTGCTGCTGCAGAAGCAGCATTGGCTGCTGCAACGGGCAGTGAGGCCTCCCAACAAGGGACAGCAGCAGCAGCAATAGCAGCAGCAGCAAATGCAGCAAATGCAGCAGCAGCAACAGGGGAAGGCCATGTTGTCCCTCCTGTGCCCTTATCACAGTCTCCCCATCCCTTAAGGGGGCCCCCTTCTACTGAATTCTTCCAGGGGCCCCCCCAAGGGGCTCCTGAAAGTACCCCACAAGGGGCCCCCCTTCAGGGGGCCCCAATTCAGGGGGCCTCCCAGGGGGCCCCTGAAGGGTACGTTTGGGTACAGCGTCATTTGCATGCATTAAGGATGGCGGAGATGTACGAAGGGCAGCTGCGGCTATGGCATGCATTTGCTTCCTTGCTGCAGCTGCAGCTGCTGCGTGCTGTGTCTGAGGAAGCAGCAGCAAAGGGCAGCAGCAGCAACAGCAGCAGCAGTGGCATTGGTGGGGATGGGTTGTGGATAAGTCACGGAGCAGGTGCTGCTGTTGATGGGCCCTTGAGGTTTGCTGCAGCAAATGCAACAACAGCAGCAGGAGGCAGCAGCAGCAGCAGAGGACGCGATGTAAGTGCTGCACAAGTATATAATCTTTACGTTTAGTGTGTGTACACCCTAATACTGCTGCTGCTGCTGCTGCTGCTCTTTATATGCTGCTGTTGCTGCTTGTTGTGTTTCTTTGCTGTATGATGCAGGCTTCTGCTGCAGCAGGACGTCTTGCTGCCTTGCAGACACAAATGCAACAACTGCAGCAGCAGCAGCAGAGCTCTCCTGCTGCTGCTGCTATTCGTGACCCTCGAATATCCCCTGCTGCAGCATCATCAACCCCACAATCTCCTGCAGCAGCAGCAGCAGCAGCAGCAGCAGCAGCAGCAACAGCATCATCATCATCTGGCAGTTCTACCCAACAACAACAGCAACAACAGCAGCAGCAGCAGCAAGCTGTCCCTGCTGCTGCAGGTGTAGTAGGTGCAGCAGGTGGAGGAGCAGCAGCAGGAGGAGGAGGAGGAGGAGGAGGAGGTTGGGGAATAGGTTCTGTATTGATGTATATAAAGTTATTTATATTATTATTTTTATTTGATGCAAATAAGTTTATCTTCTTTTTTTGTTTTCTTTTTGCCTTTTTGCATGCAAATGGTCTATTTAATCCATTAATACAAATTATACATAATACTAGTCATACACAACCATTAGAAGCAGTAAGTCCTTATTTATATATATATATATATATTAT